ATTAAAATTCGGCAGATTAATTAATTATAATCCCGGTTCGTCTATCCGATTAGTCGAGTTCCGAACTGCAATCCGCAATCATCGACTTCGGACATTTAGTGCGATACCCAAATAGACGGGTACGTGTAAATTTGTCAGCAACTTTGTGATTCGCGGTTTGTAAGGTTTGCATTCTTTATGAGAGTGATATTTTACATTCAAAAAATGTAATCTCACCTTTATAACAAAGTATTGATGAGCGCGAATCGAGGCGGTCTGCCGCGGGAACACGGGATAATAAAAGGGCTCGCAATGACGCGGCGACGGAGATCCGCGTCTCGCTATCCATCGGGATAGGCTCGGACTTTAGGTAGAAACAGCCGACTCCTTCATTTACGTGATCCCACCGATATTCGCGCAGTCGCCGTCGCCGACGACGACGACGATGACGACGATAACGATGACGACGACGACGACGAGGAGGAGGAGGAGGAAGAGAGTCTTATCCCGCAGGCAATTACGCGGGCACCGCCGTAGGGGCAAGACCGGCATCCATTATTTTTAACCTCGCGACCAAGACACGGCGGTTAGTTACCTCGGATTCAATTCCGCGCGCGGGCGAGGCGCAAGCGCTCGGTGGAGGCGTAATGCCTGTTACTACTCGCGCGCCCAGTTCCCCGGCGTTGGCCGAAGACAGGTAAGAGCGGGCTTTGTTTCGAAAGCAATCGGTCTTCCGCGGGATCTCCCACGACCGCGGGCCCCGCCGACGATTCATGACAGAACAAATTACAGATCGGCAGAAAAAGACCATCAGCGGCTCGTTCGCGGCCACGCTATTCGTTCCTTCGTTCGTGCCGTCCGTTCGCAAGCTCCGCCGCGAACGGATCTACCCCTGCGCGGCCGGCGGAGCCGAGAGAGAACAACGCGCGATACAAAGTCGTGAGGGCAAATTAATGGCGGCCATAATTTCGGCCGATAGTCGGGATGATGATGTATCGGTGCTAAATGCAACGGCGGAGTCGCCACGCCGCGATTATTCACGGAACGTTAGCCCGATCTCTCAATCGCGACAAGGACGCCGCGCCGGCGGGAAAGCGTCGTCAAAAAGCGTCGTCCGAGTCCAATCGGATCGCGCGGCGCGTAACTCATTCCTTTTCGTCGTATCTCCAGAAGAAAAGATGTATTTATTTCGTTAGAAAAACCGATAAGTAGGAAATATTCGAAATTAATCGCGCACCCGGATACCCGAGTGTTACCCGAGAGAGTGTTAGCCTAGCTAGAGACCTGAATAGTCTAGATAGACACCACTAATTCGAACCCAATCAAAGGATGAATCAAGTACAGCTGATTTTTTTTTCTTTATTATTTGGAGAAAGAAATATCTACTTATTCTATTAGAAAACTCAATAATCAAGTAACACAGTTGGAATTAATCGGCTAACACAAGACAGACAAGGACACAACCAGGACACCCGAGTAGACGTTAGCAGCACTAGTTTGAATTCGACTGCGGGCGAAGTATAGCTAATTTTAAATTGATTAAAGACAACAAGCAATCTTTGTATCTCCTATTTCGAAAATGACGAAATGCGCATTGGGAAAGCGCGAGCAGCTAGCCAATAGCAACGACAAAAACAACGAAGGACAAGAATGCGCGAGTCGGTTATTGATGTATGTATCTCTCGGAGGAACGAGCGACCGTCGCTTATCGCGACCCTGAGATAGCTCCAGTCCTAGTTGCACTCGAAACGAGCGCGATACTCGAAGCGGCAAGGAGCTCGGGCAATCCGCGCAACAAGCGATTCTCCACCACCTCCTCCTCTTCCTCCACCTCTTTCTTCTCCTCCAGGCCGGTGCTCGTTCGTTGGAGCATTCCGGCTGTTCCTTCCTTCCGAAGTTCCGGGAACCTAATTTACGGGCGTCGGGCTCGCGGCCGAGGTAACTCTTCCACGAACGGATATCCGCGCGGAGCTACGTAGATCCGCTCCGGTGAGAAAGACGATGAAGGAGGAGGAGGAGGAGGAGGAGGAGGAGGTGCGCGGCCATGATCACGGCCGCGTATAACGAGAGCGGCATCAGCGAGATTATGATTCGCGGCGTCTCGAGACGGAGACACGCCGTGTGTCTCGCGGGGCTGCTTTCGACTGACTTATTTCGACCCGTTAGCCCAATTTCTCATTCCCCGCGAGCCAAGGACGACCAGGACGACTTCTGTTCTCCGTAGTCACAACGGGGGTAGACCGGGCGTCCACCGTATACCGGTTATTATCTTTTCGCATTTTTCGGCCGAGATTATTCTCGAAACGAATGGCCCTCTTAAGCCTCCAGACCGGATCATTAATCTAGGTTCGAGGATGGCCGGACACGCCGTGTGTCGGAGAGAAAGAGAGAGAGGAGAAAGAGAGAGAGAGAGAGAGAGAGGAAGAGAGAGAAGTGGATGAGCGCCTACAAAGACCTCAGTTGCGCCGTGTGTGCCATCTCCACAATCGCTCTTTCACAGAGTGATTTAAATAAAGGGTAAAGGACACCTCAAGGCTAACGGCAATTCCGTTCAATTTATGCGCGCAGACCCGATATATAACCCCTCCCTCGGTTTTTCTCCTCTCTCTCTCTCTCTCTCTCTCTCTCTCTCTCTCTCTCATTTTTCTTTTTTTCTTCTATTTTACGCGCCACGCCGTGACCGTGTCTCGGGAGAACGAGAGATAAGTTTACACATTAATCAAAAGTGGAAACCGTTTCCGAAGACACCGCGCACGGTCGTCTCGGCCGATCCAAGCGCGAAATCAGTTAACTTTGAAGCACGCGCGGTCGCCATAACTCATCGCGCTTTCTTTCTCGCCTGCAGATCATCCGGCGTGAGAGAGATTCCGGGAGGAAGGGGGGAGGGGGCGAGCGGACAAATTAACAGAGCCGAGCGAAATTTCAATCTCTTCGATTACGTCAGTCACGTTCCAACTGCTTCCTACCGCGACGATAATATATAATTGTATCAAAAAACACCACTGTTGCAAAGCACTATCTTTCCATAACAAATATGACGAAAATTTCGCCGAAGGGCGGCCCGCGATCGCGAAACTCCAATCATTTCAATTTCACCAATTACATCTCAACTAATTCCATCTCGACAACGATATAATTGCATTGTTACAACACGCAATTGTCCCGTAATAAAAATAATCGAAATTCCGAGGGGAGATTGATCGCGAAAATGTCAGGACGCAACCTTCCACGTGCGATTACCGCAATTTCAATTGTTTCAACGTAATCAATCGCGTTTCAGTACGTCTTTCAGCGGGACAGCAATGTACCTGCGCATCACCGCTGCATACACGAAAATGGTCCCAATTTTGTCGCGACAAGGAGATCGATCGGGAACTCGCGACATTCAATGCGACTGCGTGTCTGCGCGATTACCGGGCAGAAAAGGATCGAGCAACTCACGACCGAGAGAAGGATCATTCGCGTCTGTCTGAGCTCGCTATCGAGCCGGAGTGCCCGCCACGTGCTGCGACGCGACGTTTCGCTTCGCTTCGCGGCGCCGCCGTTGCTGCTGCTCGTCCCGTCGAAGCGCGCACGACGACGTACACCTGAGGGACAGTAATGAATTCTATTCTGGCCGTCCGTCCGTGCGTAAATCAATTCTGACGGGCTGAAAGAGTTTCCGCGTCCGCATCGACACCAGGAAGCGGAAATTCAAGATGTACCACCGGCGAGTCGCGGCCTCAGGGAGGGCACGAGGGGGCGTGAGGGGGCGCCAGGGTAAGGGGAGGATCGTCATTTATAGCAACATTCTGAGCGTGTGCCGCCGCTGACGTTGCTCGATGTATCCGCGGTAAACGGCATCGCGGCTGATGATGCGTGCGCGCGTCGGGCCCAGCACGGGTACAATCGCGACTTCGACCTCCTGGATACACGCGGCCTCCTCCGCCTCCTTCTCCTCCGTGAAGAAAGCCAGGAACCACCGGTCCCGCGCCAGGCGGATCTTGATTCACTGCCTGGTGGCGTAACGCTCGTTCGAGCCTTGACAGTCCGCGATACTCGAACCTTCGCCGCGCGACTCTCTCGCGGATTTTCAAATTATTGCCAAGGCCGGCACGCCGCACAGTGGGATCAAGTGAAGTTTCATGTGTCAAGAAAGGCTACAGCTTCAAAATTTGAACCAATTTTGATCTTTTTTTTTAATGAAAGCCAATTTAGAGAATCAAAATTTTAGTCTTTTTCTTTCTCTTTTTTTTTCTTCGAAATCAGGCATAAATCTAGAAATTTTTGTCAATGACTTAATCTCATTTTCGATTAAAAAACGTAAATTTTTTATAAATACAAGCTAATTCGAACCAGTAAGAAGCTAAACATAGCACGAGCGTGTAAAGCTGTGCTGATACTAAATAATCACATAATACGTCACGTGTAATGTATCACGTGATTAATTAGTATCACACACCCTCGCGAATTACACTACGAAAAATTAGTTGAAAATTTATTTATGGAATATGGTTTATTTCTTGCGAAATGAAGTTTATTTTTGTGAAAAATAAACTTTTATCCCACACACAAATAAATTCTCAAGTATATTTTTCTCAATATAATAGCGACGCGAATATCATCAAAATCTCATAATTTCATTCTCCTGACCGTCAAATTTCTAAAACTAAATTTAAACTAATTCTAAACTAATTTATTTTTTAATTGCTTGTAGACGTATAATTTTCGGTGTCAAATAGTTTGAATTAATTTAGAAATCAACTTGGTGAAAAGGAGGAGATGAGATTTCAGGGAGCAAGGCGACGAAAAGATCTGCAGTTTGCAAAAATATAATGTACCTCCGTCGTAAATTTCTGCCATTCTGTCAGCGGTAACAACAAAGAGAGAAAGCGGGAATCCGTATCAATACGATAAATGGATTTGTCGACGGCAAAGCGGCTTTTTTGCACGCGGCCGAGAGGCGGGCTGTTCAAGGGATTCGATCCGTCGCGGATCCATCGCTTTAAGCGTCACATTACGAATTATAAAAGCTTACTCACATGTTCGTCTACGGAGTACGTCAGCTCCCCGTCGTCGTAAAGCACGAACCACCTCCGTTGCCATCTCTGAAACACAGAAATCACGCCGATGCTCAGTGAAGACGTTCGACATTGAAATGCTACATTAATGAAAAGTAAGTAAGACAAGAAGAAAAGCAATTTAGGCAGACTTTATCAATGAAAATCTCTAATTAACAATCCAAAATCTCATTTTTACTGATAACTGGGCGTGAAAAAATTCACGATTGTTTGCTCCCTCCAGATCTCTCTCTGCCTCTCCGACTTCGAATTCTTTAGTCTTACTATTACAATAAAGTAACAAGGCTGCACTCTATCGCTGACAATTATCGCGATCCCTGCAATTATTTCACAAGGGATAGGATTACGGCCAACGTGCGCGCGCTGGGAAAAACACGGCGAGAACTTTCCACGGTGCGGCTTCGCAATTTTCGTAGAAACAGTATTCTTACTCCGACGGAGAACAATCTTGCGCGAAACTCAAGGCCTGAGCCTGTTCGATTCGTCTTAAGGAATCTCCAAAGGCCTCCGTCAGCTGGACAATTAGCACGCGGCAGCCGTTAATTAGAAACAAAGTCGACAGGAGAAGCACGAAAGGAAAGAAGCGCGAGTAGCGACGACGACGACGATGACGATGGCAGCGGCAGCAGCCGACGGCGAATCGTCACGATTTCTCTCTCGTTCACCGAGCCTGGCGATGCAAAAACTTCACGCGTGCTGCTTTTCGCATTGCTTTTCTAAGGTAACTCGCGTCGAGCACTTTCGCGCTCGACCTACGAGCTCGGCCGGCTTATCTCGCTTATCGGCGAAATTCATCGTTCGGATTTCCGTTACGATGGAATCTTTGCTGCCCAAGTTGAAAGCCCGTGAGAGCTGTGTCATAGAATTTCTATTTCTAATCTCCTTGAGAGAGAAAAAGAGAGAAAGAATGTAGACTTAAAAATAAGTCGTTATGATTCATTAAAAGATAGATAAATAAGAGCGTTTAACATTCTAAGGTGTGCCATCTAAGAACGCAAATATTCACAAGAGAAAATGTTTAGACGAATATAAAGAAATGTATACAGAAAAAAATTAAAACATACATAAAAAGAAATATTTACAAGAAAAATAAAAAAATGTTGAGAAAAATGACACGAATAAATACATATAAGTGTGAACAGAGGACAAAAAAAAATACATGAAATAAGAATTAATTGCGGCAGCAAAAGGATCTGTTAGCTGAATATCGTAACATATGAATACTAAAAGTATAGTCTCCAGTAGGCATATATTTAAATACGAAACCGATCTATTAGCGACAGCAACAAACTATTATAAGGTTTTGTAACATATACATTCTGTAATTTATTATCCTTTCATATGTACTATTTGTATGAGGAAATAAAATGTGCTATTAAAAAATGTACCTTGTATTTTAATATATTGACAATTTATTCCTACACTCTACTAGAAAAGTAACGAAATTTTAGAAAATTTATATGAAAAAGAAAAGATAATATTAAAGCAACAAACACATTTTCAATAGAGGGAATATATCTTCAAAGAAGTGTCTTTCAGTTCTTTAACTCAATAAATTCGATCGTAGAGAGCCTTCACTTTCGCACAGAAATCGTTATTCTCAACGAGTCTCGCGCCGGCATCATCGTCATCGTCGTGCCGTGCCTCGCGCCCTCACACACATTGTCCTCGCGGTAAATCCGCACCGGAGGAGTTCATAAAAGCGGCGCTTTCACCGCGCGTTACACGCGTCGAGATTTACGCTCCTCGGCGGGAGACACGCGCGAATTTGACGAGCGCGCAGATTCGCGATAGAGCATCGCGTGGACGTTTATAGAGCGAACGAACGGCCGCTTCGCGCGAGCGAGTGAGCTTTACGCGCGGCGCGATTGTATGCAAATTGCGGCGCGTAACGTGTAAAGTTCGCGCGCACGCAGTATGCGACCGCGCCGTATCACTTGATGACCTCCTTGTACGCCGGTGGTGGGCGCGACGCGCCGCGGGCAAACGCGTTGACACAGAAAACGCGAAACGCCATTTCAATCGGACTTTGCGGCGGCAGCAGCGAAATATACGAGCGTGTAATATCCGACGCTTCCATGAAACCGCTTAAAACACACACATACACACCTACATCTGCACACGCTTACGTGCGCGTATAAACGCAAGAAATTATGCCAGGGCATTATTAAAGGCGCGCGCTCTACGGATATTAATCAAGAAGATCAAGCAGAAGAACCTCGCGCATAAGCGCCTCTTTCACGCGACATCCATCGTCCTCGTCGCCGTCCCGCCTGCCGCGCTAAATAAAGCTCGGCGTGGAAAACCGTTACGTACCATTGGAACGACACCAACGCGATCGCACCGAGATCCCCGGAACCGACGCGCTCACGTCGAATCGCATTCGCCGTTCTTATCCGCGAAGGGACACGTCGTCGTCGTCGTCGTCCCCCGCGGAATAGGCACATGGATACCGTTGCAAAATCCTCGGGCGAGGAACGACCGGTGAGGAGGAGCGAGAGAGAAAGAGAGAGGGAGAGAGATTTCAACCTACACACACCGCGGCGGCGGTATCTTCATCTGGTAATTATTCACTAGGGGCCCGTACGTGGAGCCGGTATGTGGACTCCGGCACGTGCGTGGGAAGATCTTTCTCGCGGAGAAAGAGAGGAAGAGAAGAAGCGGCGGCAAGCCGGACGACACAATGTGCGCGCGCGAGAGGATTGAGACGGTACGAGGGAGAGGAAGCATGGGACTCCTCTCTCTCACTCTCTCTCTCTCTCTCTCTCTCCCTCCCTCCTTCGCCTCTCCTACTGTTGCCTCTATGTGTAATCTCTTCGTCGTTTAATGTACGCATATATGAGAATGAATCAACAAATGGTAAGTCATTTTTGATTCGGGGTCGAATGTCACTTATAAAAACGGAAATCTACTGAATAATAAACGATTTGAACACACCTTGGAAATACGCTGGCCGCGTTCCCAATTTCCGACTGATTATGGCACTGTAGCACTCACACCCGCGAGATTCGATTCGATAAAAAGTACACGTGTTAAATAGCGCGATGCCGACGAGATACAGCCCGTAGCCAGTAGTGGTACGTACGCGTCGCTCGTCGGCTCGAGACACAATGAGCAATCGAAAAATTTACGACGCGACGTACAAAGGTGTGTTTAACCGCCAAGGTCCGCGATGTTTTGACTGTGTGATCCGCCCGGCGATCAATGAAGAAAGACGACTGTTGACGTCTGATGGGAGCAGAGAAGTTTACATTCCTTTGCCGATTGTTTTGATACTCTCAGGCGTCGCGCATTTTTTTCTCAACGTTATATCACATACGGTGTCTCAAATATCCCAATAACTAAATTAATAAGAAAGCATGATCAGTTCTGCGTTTGTATTAATAAGTAATTAGTGAAGTTACAAAGAAAATGTTTATATAAAATCTTGATTTTTGTCAACAATCGAGAAATAATGAGAAATAAAATAATCAATAAATATCAATTATAATTTTAATGAGATATATTAGATAACGCCAGTTGTGCCAGTAATTGAACTGAAAAATGAACCACGTCCTAATTATTAAACAATACAGACTTTGTAATTGAATGGTCATTAAATAATATTACAAATTGGCACAAATAAATATATTTTAGCAAAATTTTGAAAATTTTTTTAGAAATATTAAATACAAATATATTTTTAATGTTTCAATCATTGAGACAAAGTTCAGTTATTGGGATATTTACTTTACGCGAAATGTTTTGTCGGCTCTGGAAATATTCGAACTCTTGAATGCGACGTCGCGTTTAACAACACCGTGTTTTTTGCCGATCAAATTGTATTTGCACGAGTATCAGTGTCACTAGTCAACCGATATTGTTCCCTTTTGTAAATTACAGTTAATTTAACTGATTCATACTGATTGATTATCGAATTGCGCCATGGCATAGTTTGAGACGTTAGGACAAGCGAATGTCCTGCTTTATGTAATCATTGAAGGACACGAAGAGACTTCTGAGCAGCTCGTTAATGGCGGAGCGTTCTCTAGAGAGCGCACGTCGTAATTTCGTACATCGAGGAACCCGCATAATCCCTGACCTACCGCATCTTCCTGGTTTAAACGGGCGGCCGTTAATACCGCCTACGGACTCGAGGCCTTTCTGGTTCGACCAGTTCCGATCATTCGGAGCAGTCATCGAGGATAACCAAAGTTCAGCATCACGATCGCGTGGCGTTTTCCTAAATACGCGCGCAAGATTTCGGAGCAGCTACGGCCAATTTTATTATTTCTCTTTCTCACACACACACCTACACGTATGATAATCAAATAATAATAATCACTTATCAGCGGACAAAATATTCTTCAGTTACACAATCAAAAAAATTACGTTTTAATCCCTCTTCTCATTAATTTCGTACGTAAAAATTTTAGTTAATAAAATTTCCGTCTCTCTCTTGTGAATTTTTCTACGAACAGCGCAAGTGAAATTTAAATGCGAATTTCGATCGCGCTTTGCCTCGCCGATTTGCGGTGTCGGGCATGAATTGATTGAACTGTTAGTTAGCCAAACTACACGCGTAATCACGAATAATCGAATCGATTGATAAGATTATTTACATAATATATAATCAATCGCAAATCACAGAGTTTGACTGACAGTTAATTTCACCAATCGACAAAATTATTCGCAATTACATAAGTAACGATTGATTAATTTTGATAACTTTTGACGTATGATTGATTTATTTTAGTCGAGACTAAGCTCTCAATGCGCGATTAATGGTCGGCATTGCCCGACACTCCCCGAGCGACATTTCGCGACTTCCACTCGGGACTCGGAGTCCTCTTCGCGGAAATGGCATGAAAGCGCGTAACTCGTCGAGATGCCGTGGTCGCCGGCGCTATTGAGGATCGCCGATCACGCGACCGATCGTTCCGCCATCGCGTCGAACGCGACGGAGCGCTGCGAGCTGTTCGTGACGAAGTAACTCGGTACCGAATGTCCCGACTTCCCCTTACGAGCTTCCTGGTCAGCGATCGCGG